GGCCACCACTGCCCTACAGCAGTGACAGTGGTGCTGATCCTGGTGTGGGATGGCATTCCCCTTCCCATGGCAGACAGATTGTATACGGAGCTTACCCAAAACCTGCGGACGTACAATGGGCATCCCACAGACCGAAGATGCACGCTCAATGAAAAGTAATCATATCTATTTTGTACTGTCTAGACATTCAGGCTTCTAATATGTAATGTTAAATTGTTAATTAATTACCAACTATAGATATGGGACAACAAGATTTTAGCTATTGTGTAACTAAAAAGAGTGACCATTTCTTTAGAGAGAAAGACATAATTTCATAGGGAGTTGAGACCATTTTAGGATATCCTGCCTTCGAATATTCTTTTACTGATTCTTTCTTGGATATCTCATCCCACTCACCTCAAGTGTCTGGAGCAGACTGGTTTTTCCGTAAAGGAAAAGCTTCCTCCACTGAGAACTGTACCATTTTGCATTTCCTCCAGCAATGTGAGAGAGTATCTGTTTTTTTAATCTTCAACCTTATGTGTGTCTCAATTTTGAATGGTATGTAAGGATATTTTTTATAGCTCTCAAGATACAGAGTAATTCACCCATGTTTTCTTTTAGAATTTTTTGAAATCATAAATGATGAGAGAGAATCATTGATCGGCCCCCTCCTACACAACACACACAAGGGATCAAGTGACCTCCTGGTTCATAGGTCAACGCTCACCCATGGAGCCCCACTGGCTGGCCTATAATATATTTTAATATTTGGTAGGGTTAGCTTGCCACTCTTACTGTTTTTCAAGACTTGTTATTTTTTTTTTTCCCCTTTGTGCTTTTAAACAAACTTCATAATCAACTTTGTAGTATTAAGGTAAATCTAATTATATTTTTAATGAGACTGCATTAAATTATAATAAATGGACATCTTTATGATAATGAATCTTTCTATCCCATAAATGGTCTTGTTTTTTTCAAGTTTCCTTGTGTATCCTTCAGGAGAGTTTTATGTAGTTTTCCTCAAATAGGTCTCTTTTTAAGAAGAAATGTCATTATACAAAATATAGTAAAAATATCATTCCTTCTAATTCCCACACAAAATTAATTAGTATACTTCCCAGAGCATTCATTTATGCTTATATTTTCATTTCATTATATTTTTCTTTTTAATGACCACAAGTTTGTGTACGTCTTTTTTGTTGTTGTTAATCCTCACCTGAGGGTATTTTACCATTGGATTTGGTTTTTTTAGAGAGAGGGAAAGACAGAGAGAAACACTGATGTGAGAGAAACACATCTACTGGTTGCCTCCAGCATGTGTCCTAATCAGGGTGTAGGCTAGGGAGGACCCTGCAACCAAGGTGCGTGCCCTTGATTGTAATCGAACCCAGGACCCTTTGGTGCAGACCAATACTCTATCCACTGAGTCAAACCAGCTAGGGCTGTACATAAGTTTTAATGTCTGCTAATTATTTTATATGGGTACACAATTTTTTATTTGAAGACACTGCTTTAAATGGTACACATATATTGTCTTATTGAATCTTTTCAAGAATCCAGTAGTTATATTTCACCCAATGTATATCTAGCATTTTTTCAATAATTATTCTTATAGAAAATATGTAAGAATACTTAAATGAACGCTTACCTAGATTACATCATTGTTACTGGTTTGTTATATTTGCATTTATACTCTTACGCACATAGGCATATTTTATATATATTTTCATTACTGATTTTTAAATATTTTCTTCTGTATCATTTATGAAATACTTTCACACTTAAGACTTCTTCCCCTAAATAATACTTTATAAGTTACTAGTGCCTTGGTGCATTGATTTGTGTAAATTGAAAGGAAATTCATTAATATTTTAATATCGCTATTCACCCTTTCTCTATAATAGAAGTATCAACCAAATTCTCAATCGACAATGACAGATCGAAACACACATGTGCGATTGGCACCAGCAAGGGCTTTATATGTATCACTCATGTGCGAGTCAACCTAGCCTCATATATATATAGAATCCTAAAGCATTCTTTTCCATAAACCCAGTACAATAATCAAAATCAGAAAATTTAACTTTGATTTAAACAACTAGTTAAAATGATCTAGTCTACAGTCCATATTCAGATATCTGTTTCCCAATAATAATCTTTATCGTAGTTTTTCCCCAACCCAGATTGGGTGGATTAAGTTGTTTTTTATCTTTTGGTCGCTTAATCCTTTAATCTCACTTCTTTATGTTACACGACATTGACATTTTTTAAAGGAATGGGTTAATTTTGTACAGTGTTCCTCAGTTTTGGCTTGTCTGATTGTTTTTGCCTGATTCAATTCAGTTCAGGAATTACTGGCATATTATACTCAATCCATAAAATTAGGACTTATGAGTCCATTTATTCCATTTCAGAGATGTTGACTGTTTAAGGTATTCATTGGAAGCTCTAAGTACTTCACATACAATATATATGATTGTTTTCAGGCCTCAAAGAATTATATCAATGTGTTTTATAGATGGAGGAAGTAATGTCCAATGTGGTCATGAAATGCTACAGTTTTCATTTCTGATAGGGATCAGATCTGGGATGTAAATCCAGGCTCGTTATATTCCATTCTCAGACCATCTTCAAATCCAACAGGTTATGAGTGTTTTAGATCTGTATGGTTTATTAGAGATTATTTAGATTTGCAGTCTTGAGCATTTTATTTAAAATTTTATTCAATATTTAAAAATCCTGTATAATAAAAGTCTAATTTGAAAATCAATTGAACAGTGGAACGACCGGTCACTATGATGCGTACTGACTACCGGGGGCAGAAGGTCAACACAGGAGCTCGCCCCCTGGCAGTCAGTGCACTCCCACAGGGGGAGTGCTGCTCATCCAGAAGTCGGGCTCATGGCTGATGAGCGCAGTGGCCCGTGGCCAGTAGCGGAAGCCTCTCCTGCATCTGTGGTAGCGCTAAGGACCCCTCGGGGAATGTCCAACTGCTGGCTTAGATCCGCTTCCCCGAGGGGTCCCAGCCTGCAAAAGGGCGCAGGCTGGGCTGAGGGAACACCCTCTTAGTCTCCCCGCTCCTTCAGTGCATGAATGTCGTGCACTGGGCCTCTAGTTAGTTTAATTATATTCACATATATATTTCACATTGTGTTATTAACAGTAGTTAGACATAATAATAAAATATATATTAAAATCAGTTTATTAGTCATGTGTACTTCTAACATTACATGAACCTCTCTGAAGTATTGTCCTACTTTATCAGTTCATTGCCTTGCAATTACCATCTTACAGTCGTACCTGTACATGTCAAGGAATTGATCCTGAGACTTGTGGAGCTTCATTCTCTTTTGGCTGTTCGTGGAGTATGTACTTTAATGGCTGCAAATTTGGTAGAAGCCCAAGCCCTAGAAGATTTAGAATTGATCCAAGTTCTCCCTTACATGTAAGTGCCTTTTTAACTTTTGAATTATACACTGAATATATATATGTTTTTCACGAGTAAAAATTTTAAGTATTAAAAGTAGTGACAAAATAGTAAAAATATGTACACTTATGGAAATACATCATAATTATAAATAAAGGAGGTAAATCTATCAAGCCAAAATTCCAATTGTCCCTGGCTCCCTCCTCCTTCTCCCCTAACCCCAGAGATAACTATTATTAAAAGAACATCTAGCATTTTATACCCAGCCAAAGTAGGAAGCCGTTTCACAGACTCAGAAAGTTTACTACCCACAGACCTACTATGAAAGAATTACTAAAGGACGTATTCCAGAAAGAAGATATGTGAGACCGGAAGCAATCTGTCCGGGACACGAGGCCATGGTGAGCAAAGAAATTACTCAACCTTATTGTTAAGTTTAAATAAGTTGAGTACTTACATTTTTACATTAAAAATAACAAGCTATAAGTATAGCTCCATTCTCTTAACAACTCAAGTGTGCATAGTCAGTGGGAGGGGTGGGGCACCTATAACAACTAAGTGTGGTGATGTTTTATGCTTTGTTTGGAGTGGGAATGGTTTAGATACTGATTAACTCTAAGATCAGTGTTTTTCAAACTTGGAGCTCTAAGAGTAAAAAAAATTTTATATCACAAACCACTATACAGATATATACAAGTAAATAATTAAAACAAAACTATTAGAAAAAAACTTAACTTTATTATATGTAACAATGAAAATATTTTTAAAATTAAAACTTAATATCCAATATAGTTCATTGTAAGTATCTCTACAATGCAGTAAGATTTTTGAAGAATTTCATTTATTTTTTAAGTGCTAGTTGTGACCTACTTGACTGTTTTAATGGCCCACTAATTAGTTATACCCACAGCTTGGAAAACACTGCTCTAGATGTCAGTAAAACGTATTTGCATGTTTAACATTTTTTTTTACATGAATAAAAATAGAATTTATAGCTTTGAATTATTTGGGGTGGGTGTATTAAACAGCAAACCATCCATAAATTAGCAAAGGGAATTTACACAAAATCATTACAATACGGATAAATGGAAAAGAAAATAGCAGGAATTAATCCTATTATATCTGTAATACAATGACTATAACATATTTCAAAAAGGCCTTGTATTTGAGCAACAGGTCACAGTTTGATTCCCAGTCAGGGCACATGCCCTGGTAATGGGCTCAATCCCCAGCTTTGGGAGTGCAGGAGGCAGCCGATCAATGATTCTCTCTCTTCATTGATGTTTCTATCTCTCCCTCCTCACTTCCTCTCTGAAATCAAACAAGCTTGCAATTCAATGAGTAATGATCTCTTGAAAGAGATCATTTATTTAGCATTTTCTATATTTCCCATCTATTGCAATGAAACAAGGAAAAGATTCAAGAGTTAGAACTATTATTTGCAAATCAAGTACCATAGAAGTCTAACAAAACGTGTGTTAGACATTTGGGGAGAAAACTATTAAAAAATTAGTAAAGGGCATATAAAATACCTGATAATGGAAAGCTGCTCTGTTGTGTCAAAGATCTGACACTTAATAATGTGATATCAGTTGTCCCTTAAAATTAACCAATTGAATTTTCTTTGCAAATATTATATGATGAAACTTAGCATGTAAATATATTAATAATATAAACATGACTCAAATTTCTATTCTATCACAATAATACTGTTTTATAATTAATAAATGTGAGGTCAGTTTTTGCTTATGGTTATTATTGATAATTAGTAACATTTATATAATCCTTATAATACAAGATGACGTAGTGCTCATTCCAGGAACTGAGTGAAGGCCAGTATGAATCTCAGCAGGCAAGGGAGAGTGAGGTGCATATAATTTCCTTGGCAGCCACTTCCAAGATTTTGGAAGATCATTGAAAGGTTTTAAGAAAGAGAGTGATATAATTATTAAACTTGTAATTTAAAGAGTTCTCTATGGCTATCCTTTGAATAATGCATTGCAGTTGACCAAGAGTAGGTTCAACAAAATGAGCAAGTAGCTTGTATTATGATTGTGACAGAGGAAATGGTGAGCAATGGTTGGACTGCTGAGATTTTTAAAATTAAGATGGTGGCCCTGGGTGGTTTGGCTCAGTGGATGGAGCAAAGGCCTGCAGAGTAAAGGGTCCCAATTCGATTCTGGCTAGGGGCACATGCCCAGACTGCGGGCTCTATCCCCAGTGGGGGGCATGCAAGAGGCAACCAATCAATGATTCTTCTCATAATTTATCTTTCGACTCTCTCTCTCTCTCCCTCTTCCTTCCTCTCTGAAATCAATAAAAATAAAATTAGATGGTGGATCTATTTCTTGACCAAAGGGTATCCTAACCTAGTGCCAGGTTGGTAGAGGACTGGGTAATCTCCTGTTCTGGTGGTAACATGTCATGGATGTGGATAGGATGGTTCTTAAGATCAGATATAGGGTGAGAAGAATAGAGGGATGTTGGCTTGAGCCCCAGCAGGTAAAGATCTGATTTAAGAGAAATCTTTATATCTGAAACACATTTATTCTAATAAAGCAATTAGAAAGTCAGGGTTTATTTGACTCGTTTCCTCCTCCCCACAACCATTTCCACTCAATAAATGAAATGACACGTTTGACTTGTGACAGTATATTATTAATAATATTTTATTGGCAATAAAACACCCTACCCAATATTTCAAGTGTTAGAAAACAATAAAAATCTCTTTAAATAGGTATCCTGTATAATAAAAGGCTAATATGCAAATCGACCAGTCACTATGACGCACACTACCACCAGGGCACAGACGCTCGGCATAGGAGTTGCCTCCTGGTGGTCAGTGCACTCCTACAGGGGGAGCTTCACTCAGCCAGAAGCTGGGCTTATGGCTGGTGGCTGGTGAGTGCAGTGGCAGTGGCAGGAGCTCCTGCCTTTGCAGCAGCGCTAAGGACCCCTCTTCAGTGGATGTCCGCCAAGGGGTCCTGGACTGTGAGTGGGTGCAGGCCAGGCTGAGGGGTTCCCCTCTCCACTACAGTGCACAAATGTTGTGCACCAGGCCTCTAGTTTAAATAATTCTAAAGTTTTCCGCAAATAAAGAAAATAATTAATATGTGTATATAGACAGGAAGTGTTTTCAAGTAGGATCCTTACTTTCCTGATTCTATCTAGTAAGCTAGCTACATTAAGTAACAGATAATTAAGAGACAGATGAATGGAACGGTAGGTTAGATAGGCCTTATTTATTTATTTTCCAATGGAAGCATCAACACAATTTGTTAGGAAATCAAAAGGGTTATCTCTGATTTGTTAGAGTTGCCAAGATTGAGACTTGTTAGACACACTCAAGAATTAAAGTTCTTATACCGACATTACTGGTATTAAAGTAGCTAGGATCATTGAATAATATAGCAATATGGGTCTCATTTTTAGCGACATGAGCACATTTGTCACTAACCTCTAATATTTAGATTTCTAATTAGGTTATAACATAGAATTTTAGTTTGAAAAGGCTGAATGAAAGCATAACAATCACTAATTGTATACGTTCTTAATAAATAATCCATACTATTTTCTGTTGTAGCTCTTTCATCAGTGTATGAATTGTATGATATGCATCACCCTACATATCATTTTCATAATCTTAAGCTCACCTTACATGATATTGTGAAATAACCTTTATGGACTGTATTTTCCTATAGGAAAAAAACCTTGAAGATAATTTACAGAGTTTGGCCACACAATTAGCTCCAATTTATAGACAGTATGCTCCGGTTGCTTACCAGAACCAGGTATGTTCGGGGACCTTATATAGTACATTTAAACGTGGTTGAAATTTCTATGTAAATAAAATTACTGTTAATAGAAAACCTTTCCAATTTGATCTTTTTTTATGTATAGCTTTAACATTAGGATTTTTAAAAAGTATCATTATGGCAATTGAATTAAAACATCATAGAATTATGATTTGTTCTCCATATGAAACTTAGAACGCAGGAATGTGTGATTGGTTCAACACATGGAAATTAATCAATGTGCTATACCATATTAATAGATCAAAGAAAATCATGTGAAGTAAAGTCAGTGAGTAACCCAAGTCTTATATTATAAAAACATTCAGCAAACTAACAGTAGAAGGGAATTGCCTCAACCTGGTAAATGACATCTATGAAAAACTCAGAGCTAACAGGATCCTATATAATAAAAGGGTTATATGCAAATTGACCCTAACAACAGAACGGCTGGGAATGACTGGTCACTATGAAACACACTGACCACCAGGGGGCAGATGCTCAATGCAGGAGCTGTCCCCTGGTGGTAAGTCCGCTGCCATAAGGGGAGCTCTGCTCAGCCACAAGCCAGGCTGATGGCTGCCAGCACAGCAGTGATGGCGGGAGCCTCTCCCGCCTCCCCCGCAGCACGAAGGATGTCTGACTGCAGCTTAGGTCCACTCCCTGCTGGTAAGTAGACATCCCCTGAGGGCTGCTGGGCTGCCAGAGGGATGTCTGTCTGCCAGCTTGGGCCAATCACCCAGGAAGGGGGCCTAAGCCAGCAGGTGGACATCCTCCAAGGGGTCCCCAGACTGCAAGACTGCATAGGCCGGGCTGAGGTGTGCGCGTACTGCCCCCCCCCCCCCCCCGTGCACAAATTTTTGTGCACTGGGCCTCTAGTTAATGATAAAAGACAAAAAGCTTTCTGTCTAATATCTGGGACAAGATAAAAATGTCAAATGTCACCACTTGAGTGAAACATGTTGGAGGTTCTAGTCAGAACAATTAAGCAAGTAAAAGAAATCCAAACTAAAAACAAAGGGATAAAACAATGTCTAATTACCAGTGATATGATACAGTATCCAGAAAATAGTGAAGCATACACACACACACAGAAGTAGAAATAAGTGTTAACATAACAAACCCACACCTGAAACCTTTATGTTCGTGTTCATGTTGACCAATGTCACCCCAATCAATTTAATTAA